GTTTTTGTTCCATACTAATTTTAATAACACTACAATAACACGTCAAAATATATTCTCCAGTGGCACAAACAGTGACTTTTCTAAAAATAATTGAATTCCTCACATAGAAAAAAACTGTAAAGGCACCGTAAACATGTCAATCTGTTCATAGATATATATCTATGGTTTTAGATGATATGGATAGTAGTACTAGAAGCGCTGACATTTGGACTAGCTGGTGTAGCGTTACGAGGTGCTTCTCTTGTATTGCCAAGGCAGAATTAGTCAGTTTTGTCCTCTTAGCAGGAGGTTAATTACGCACACATCCTCATCAAAACTTGACTCGTCAACGGTTTGGGGAAATTTCACGTCGCTACTATCATTATCCAACTCCACATTACTTTATTTGATCCACTGTTTTATCAAATTTGATGATTCTAAAGCAGTAAATCGCTTTGATGGGCGTGAAGACGATGACTGATCGGACATATTGTTTTCAGATAATTGTTTGGTAACGTAGTAGACCACACAAATATCGATTTAAAGCGTTAAAAACTCACCAGACCCAAACGAATGCACTCCACGTGTGTACACTACACACTTGAGAACCGGAAAGGAAGTTTAAATTGAGTGGTCCACGTGTAATTACCGATAAGTGGTAAATTAAAAACCGTCACACGTCATGCGCTGTTTGGGCCGCCAAGTAGTAAAAAATGAGCGCGTGATGCGTTCCTTGGGACTCAAAGAGTTAAAGGTCATGGGAGAAACATTGTTATCTAAAACTCAATAGGTGGCATTTGATTTGATAATTTCATTCAGATGTGTAATGTCTTTATTATCATCAATCCATTATTTCAATGGTCCCCCTCTTGCTTTCACCTCAGATCATTGTTTGGGTAATACTTGTGTAGACAGTTGTTGTGGCTCCATGCTTTGAGATGGCCACATCATTAAGAACTGACCATGGACAATAAACCCTTCATGAGAAGAACAAGTGGACAACTGGCCAGATATAACCAGATGACTGACCTGTAACAGATGAAGGTGATTCCTGTAACTAGACAAAATGACCTGTAACAGATGAAAGTGATTCCTGTAACTAGACAAACTGACCTGTAACAGATGAAGGTGATTCTTGCAACTAGACAAACTGACCTGTAACAGATGAAAGTGATTCCAGTAACTAGACAAACTGACCTGTAACAGATGAAGGTGATTCCTGTAACTAGACAGACTGACCTGTAACAGATGAAGGCGATTCCTGTAACTAGACAAACTGATCTGTAACAGATGAAGGTGATTCTTATAACTAGAGACACTGACCTGTAACAGATGAAGGTGATTCCTGTAACTAGACAAACTGACCTGTAACAGATGAAGGTGATTCCTATAACTAGAGACACTGACCTGTAACAGATGAAGGTGATTCCTGTAACTAGACAAACTGACCTGTAACAGATGAAGGTGATTCCTATAACTAGAGACACTGACCTGTAACAGATGAAGGTGATTGCTGTAACTAGACAAAATGACCTGTAACAGATGAAGGTGATTCCTATAACTAGAGACACTGACCTGTAACAGATGAAGGTGATTCCTGTAACTAGACAAACTGACCTGTAACAGATGAAGGTGATTCCTGTAACTAGACAAACTGACCTGTAACAGATGAAGGTGATTCTTATAACTAGACACACTGACCTGTAACAGATGAAGGTGATTCCTGTAACTAGACAAACTGACCTGTAACAGATGAAGGTGATTCTTGCAACTAGACAAACTGACCTGTAACAGATGAAAGTGATTCCAGTAACTAGACAAACTGACCTGTAACAGATGAAGGTGATTCCTGTAACTAGACAGACTGACCTGTAACAGATGAAGGCGATTCCTGTAACTAGACACACTGACCTGTAACAGATGAAGGTGATTCCTGTAACTAGACAAACTGACCTGTAACAGATGAAGGTGATTCCTGTAACTAGACAAACTGACCTGTAACAGATGAAGGTGATTCCTATAACTAGACACACTGACCTGTAACAGGTGAAGGTGATTCCTGTAACTAGACAGACTGACCTGTAACAGATGAAGGTGATTCTTGCAACTAGACAAACTGACCTGTAACAGATGAAGGTGATTCTTGCAACTAGACAAACTGACCTGTAACAGATGAAGGTGATTCCTGTAACTAGACAGACTGACCTGTAACAGATTAAGGTGATTCTTGTAACTAGACAAACTGACCTGTAACAGATGAAGGTGATTCCTGTAACTAGACAAACTGACCTGTAACAGATGAAGGTGATTCCTGTAACTAGACAAACTGACCTGTAACAGATGAAGGTGATTCCTGTAACTAGACAGACTGACCTGTAACAGAAGAAGGTGATTCCTGTAACTAGACAAACTGACCTGTAACAGATGAAGGTGATTCCTGTAACTAGACAAACTGATCTGTAACAGATGAAGGTGATTCTTATAACTAGACAAACTGACCTGTAACAGATGAAGGTGATTCCTATAACTAGAGACACTGACCTGTAACAGATGAAGGTGATTCCTGTAACTAGACAAACTGACCTGTAACAGATGAAGGTGATTCCTGTAACTAGACAAACTGACCTGTAACAGATGAAGGTGATTCCTGTAACTAGACAAACTGAACTGTAACAGATGAAGGTGATTCCTGTAACTAGACAAACTGACCTGTAACAGGTGAAGGTGATTCCTGTAACTAGACAAACAGACCTGTAACAGATGAATGTGATTCCTGTAACTAGACAAACTGACCTGTAACAGATGAAGGTGATTCCTGTAACTATACAAACTGACTTGTAACAGATGAAGGTGATTCCTGTAATTAGACAAACTGACCTGTAACAGATAAAGGTGATTCTTGTAACTAGACAAACTGACCTGTAACAGATGAAGGTGATTCTTGCAACTAGACAAACTGACCTGTAACAGATGAAGGTGATTCCTGTAACTAGAGAAACAGACCTGTAACAGATGAAGGTGATTCTTGTAACTAGACAAACTGACCTGTAACAGATGAAGGTGATTCTTGCAACTAGACAAACTGACCTGTAACAGATGAAGGTGATTCCGTAACTAGAGAAACAGACCTGTAACAGATGAATGTGATTCCTGTAACTAGAGAAACTGACCTGTAACAGATGAAGGCGATTCCTGTAACTAGACAAAATGACCTGTAACAGATGAAGGTGATTCCTGTAACTAGAGAAACAGACCTGTAACAGATGAAGGTGATTCTTGTAACTAGCCAAACTGACCTGTAACAGATGAAGGTGATTCCTGTAACTAGACAAACTGACCTGTAACAGATGAAGGTGATTTCTGTAACCAGACAAACTGACCTGTAACAGATGAAGGTGATTCCTGTAGCCAGACACAGACTGGCAGTAACTGTGGCCAGGATAGTGATCAACAAGCTGGAGCTGACGCCACTGCCATCTGAAACATTCCAACACTTGATTACATTGTGTCACAGCAGCAACACTCTATTACATTGTGTCACAGCAGCAACACTCTATTACATTGTGTCACAGCAGCAACACTCTATTACATTGTGTTGCAGCAGCCAGCTCCAGCAGACTTGAGGGGGTGGGGGCCACAAACGCAGCCGCCTGCACCATGGTCAGGTTTTCAAATCATCATCTGTCCAATACACCTAGACTCACAAGCTGACCTAGTTCAAATGGGTATGAGGAAATGTTCTGGGAAGTAAAGCCAGATGGTGTTATACCATATCGGCCACATATACTAAAGTAAACCTGCTGTTGTCCTTTCTACCCCACTCACCACAGAGAGAAAGAGTGAGAGACAGACAGACAGACAAAGGCAGAGAGGGAGAGACAGACACACAAAGACACAGAGAGATCAAGATAGAGACAGACAAAGATGCTGAGAAGAAAGAGAGGAGAGACCGAGAGGGAGACACAGAGAGAGAGAGAAAGAGAGAGAGAGAGAGAGAGAGAGAGAGAGAGAGACAAACAGATCTTTTTATGTGACAACTGAAGCTGACAACACTAAAAACAGAAACAGAGAGACACTGTAAAGACAGACAAGATCACCTTCTGTGACAGCTGAAGCTGATGGAGTGTACAAATCTCCAAACCGATCACTTCTAGGCAAGCTGCTGTCCACAGAACTCAGGACAAACACCTTGACCTCAGGAGCACTGGATGAGATCACTGATGCTGTCACAGGGCCCACTGTGTGTGAGCCTGTCTCTACCAGGGTCATGTTGGATCTGAGGGAGCAGTTCTCACCTTCCCAGCCATGGTCACACAGACAGGTCTTTCCTGGGGCACACATCTGCAACAACATAACACCTGACTGTATTTGGGACATCTCACAGCTGCAACAACATAACACCTGACTGTATCTGGGACATCTCACAGCTGCAACAACATAACACCTGACTGTATCTGGGACATCTCACAGCTGTGATTTATCTAGTGTCACCCTAGAACATTTATTTAGTGTCATAATGTCATAATATCATAAAGTGTCAGGTAATTTATCTAGTGAAATATCAGGTAATTTATCTGGTGTCATATCAGGTAATTTATCTAGAGTCATATCAGGTAATTTATCTAGTGTCACATCAGGTAATTTATCCAGTGTCACATCAGGTAATTTATCTAGTATCATATCAGGTAATTTATCTAGTATCACATCAGGTAATTTATCTAGTGTCATATCAGGTAATTTGTCTAGAGTCATATCAGGTAATTTATCTAGAGTCATATCAGGTAATTTATCTAGTATCACATCAGGTAATTTATCTAGTGTCACATCAGGTAATTTATCTAGTGTCACATCAGGTAATTTATCAAGTGTCATATCAAATAATTTATCTAGTATCACATCAAGTAATTTATCTGGTGTCATATCAGGTAATTTATCTTGTGTCATATCAGATAACTTATCTAGTGTCATATAAGGTAATTTATCTAGTGTCATATCAGGTATTTTATCCAGTGTCACATCAGATAATTTATCTAGTGTCACATCAGGTAATTTATCTAGTGTCACATCAGGTAATTTATCTAATGTCACATCAGGTAATTTATCTGGTGTCACATCAGGTAATTTATCTAGTGTCACATCAGTTAATTTATCTAGTGTCACATCAGGTAATTTATCTAGTGTCACATCAGGTAATTTATCTGGTGTCATATCAGGTAATTTATCTAGTGTCACATCAGGTAATTTTAACTAGAGTCATATCAGGTAATTTATCTAGTGCCACATCAGGTAATTTATCTAGTGTCATATCAGGTAATTTGTCTAGAGTCATATCAGGTAATTTATCTAGTATCACATAAGGTAATTTATCTAGTGTCATATCAGGTAATTTGTCTAGAGTCATATCAGGTAATTTATCTAGAGTCATATCAGGTAATTTATCTAGTATCACATCAGGTAATTTATCTAGTGTCACATCAGGTAATTTATCAAGTGTCACATCAGGTAATTTATCTAGTGTCATATCAGGTAATTTATCTAGTGTCATATCAGGTAATTTATCTAGTGTCATATCAGATAATTTATCTAGTATCATATCAGGTAATTTATCTAGTATCATATCAGGTAATTTATCTAGTATCATATCAGGTAATTTATCTAGCGTCATATCAGGTAATTTATCTAGTGTCATATCAGGTAATTTATCTAGTATCATATCAGGTAATTTATCAAGTGTCATATCAAATAATTTATCTAGTATCATATCAGGTAATTTATCTAGTATCATATCAGGTAATTTATCTAGTATCATATCAGGTAATTTATCTAGTGTCATATCAGGTAATTTATCTAGTGTCATGTCAGGTAATTTATCTAGTGTCATATCAGGTAATTTATCTAGTATCATATCAGATAATTTATCTAGTATCATATCAGGTAATTTATCTAGTATCATATCAGGTAATTTATCTAGTGTCATATCAGGTAATTTATCTAGTGTCATATCAGGTAATTTATCTAGTGTCATATCAGGTAATTTATCTAGTGTCATATCAGGTAATTTATCTAGTGTCATATCAGGTAATTTATCTAGTATCATATCAGGTAATTTATCTAGTATCATATCAGGTAATTTATCTAGTGTCATATCAGGTAATTTATCTAGTGTCATATCAGGTAATTTATCTAGTGTCATATCAGGTAATTTATCTAGTATCATATCAGATAATTTATCTAGTATCATATCAGGTAATTTATCTAGTATCATATCAGGTAATTTATCTAGTATCATATCAGATAATTTATCTAGTATCATATCAGGTAATTTATCTAGTATCATATCAGGTAATTTATCTAGTATCATATCAGGTAATTTATCTAGTGTCATTTCAGGCTGTAGCCAAGAATTCATGTTTCTAGAATTAAACATGTAACAAAGGGGAGGAGATGATCAAGTGGGGCTTCTTCACTATTGTCATGATCGTATAGTCATTTAAAAATGATTAAGTGTCTATTTCTGAACCTATCTTGAGCAGTGACTGACAGATGAATTATAAAAATCAAGTCATTTAATGTAGAAATCAGTCTTAATTCAGACATTGATAATTTCAGCAACTATAATAATGATGATGACTCTTCTCTATGTTTCTGAAAAATTTCACAAAACTGCATTTGTTATTTGCAGCAGCAGTTTTTAAGATCAATTTAATGTCCCGTCTTCTAGTTTGAATTTGCAGTCCTAGATCTTTCTTCTAATAAGGTTTACTCTTTCTGTCAGCCTTGTGTATAAGTTACAATGCTTAGTAAGTGTTTTTTAGTTTGCATCCACTCTGAGCATTCTCTCTCCTCATGTCTGTAGTTCCCTAATAGTATCTCCCTTCTCTCCTCTCCTCATGTCTGTAGTTCCCTAAAACTATCTCCCTTCTCTCCTCTCCTCATGTCTGTAGTTCCTCAAAAGTATCTCACTTCTCTCCTCTCCTCATGTCTGTAGTTCCTCAAAAGTATCTCCCTTCTCTCCTCTCCTCTATCTGTAGTTCCCCAAAAGTATCTCCCTCTCTCCTCTCCTCATGTCTGTAGTTCCCCAAAAGTATCTCCCTCAAGAAAAAAATGTAGTCTTTTTCAATGGCTGCACCTGCAGATATTTTAATACCTCCTCGCGTACGAAAGTTCCCCATAAGTAGGGTCTGATGTCTGTTTTCTCAGGTTGTCTGTCACTCTAGTTAGTTTAAAGTCTGATGCCTGTTTGTTTTCTTAGGTTGTCTGTCACTCCAGTCAGTTTAAAGTCTGATGCCTGTTTGTTTTGTTAGGTTGCCTGTCACTCCAGCTAGTATCCAATCTGAGGGTCTGATGTTTGTCTGTTTTCTCAGGTTGTCTGTAACTCCAGCTAGTATCCAGTCTGAGGTCTCATGTATTTTTTTTTCTCAGATTGTATGTCATTTTAGCTAGTTTCCAGTCCGGAGGTACTCTGTCATAAGGGCTCCTCTTCACCTGTCACATCAATTCAGTTAGTGTTTTTTGACTTGATAGCATCTCTTTCTACTCATGTTTTAATCTATCTAATTATGTTGGTCGGCTCTGTGGCTAAGTCGATGCGAACGCTTCGCTTCGTAATGCCGGGATGCCAGGTTCGATCCCAGCTGCGGGCAATGCGCCTTGCGTTGGTTTCGACAGTGGTATCAAGAAAGCCGACTGTCCAGAAAGCAATGGCAAACTACTGGATGTAACTTGCCTAGAGAAACCACACAACAGCCAGGGGCTGTTGGGGTTGGTTCTGCAACGTCCTGTAAAGGATACGCAACTAACTTTACTTTAATTATGTTGATACATGTATTGCCTATTTGGTGACTGTTGTATCCCTATGTGTAATGGGGGATATTTTCACCCTGATTGGGAAGGTTGGGGGGAAAGCCCCAAGTTAACAATAATACAAAAAGAAGCCAGATACTCGGATTAACAGAAATTTTCAAGATAGGGGACGACCACGTGTTATCACGTCAGACCTAAGAAGAACGACCACAGGTCGCCACATGGAACCCAAGAACAACCATGTGTTGCCACGTGGAACGAACACTGGGTAAATCTTAAGACCCCAGTCTGATCAGTTAGTATGTGTTGACCTTCAGAACAAGGGGACGTGAGAGTCATCGAGGGAATACGAACGTGAAACTGATTGCTGAAAGAGGACGACCAGACGACAACATCCATCGAAGCCAAGTCCAGCCAAGCCAAGTTGTGTGAAGCTTGATGCAATGACCAGATTCATCTATGCGGCGATGTGGAACTGAAGACGCAGAACCCTGGTTGGTGAATGTGTGAGGAGTCAGCGTGTTGGCGTCTGAACAATGTGTTGCTTGAAAGCTGTTGATTAGGACATGGACGGGACAATATATGTAAGTGATGAGATGTCAATAAACAGTCTTGTATCTTGGAGACGGTGTCGGCTTGTCACAGCTATGTCATCTTAGACTGTGAGTCAGATTATCCAGTAAACACATCAACCCCTAGAAGACGAGTAGTGCGACTTATTGCACTATGTTTTTATGACCAACCTTTACTTTCTTCCACAAAGTAACAAAGCTGGGGACCAGTAGCTTTGCAAGGTGAAATATACCAGACGAAATATGAGCAAATTAATGGTGATTACCACTTATTTGGACACATGGACAGGGATTACAAGATGTGGACACATGAACAGTGGATACCAGATGTGGACAAATAGACAGGGATTACCAGATGTGGACACATGAACAGTGGATACAAAATGTGGACAAATAGACAGGGATCACCAGATGTGGACACATGAACAGTGGATACCAAATGTGGACAAATAGACAGGGATCACCAGATGTGGACACATGAACAGTGGATACCAAATGTGGACAAATAGACAGGGATTACCAGATGTGGACAAATAGACAGGGATTACCAGATGTGGACAAATAGACAGGGATTACCAGATGTGGACAAATAGACAGGGATTACCAGATGTGGACAAATAGACAGGGATTACCAGATGTGGACACATGAACAGTGGATACCAGATGTGGACACATGAACAGTGGATACCAAATGTGGACAAATAGACAAAGATTACCAGATGTGGACAAATAGACAGGGATTATCAGATGTGGACAAATAGAGAGAGATTATCAGATGTGGACAAATAGACATTGATTGCAAAATTTGTAATAATAACTTGTTAAGGGTTCTTCTCAACCACTTACCCCATGTCCAGAACAGATGAGAGTGAGGTCAGTAGACGGGCAGGTAATGATAGGGCTACCTGGCAGCTGGACACAAGAATGACCCAGACAGACTTTCCTGTGTCCACATTTGGTGCCGTCCTGCACCAGTCCCATGTGTGGGATGTCCATCATGGCCGGTCCATGCACTGTTCTGTCAGAAATATAGATCGCTAGTACATTCCATAACCATATAGAAAGAAAAACACGACAATTTGTTTCACAGACTTGACTGCATGCAGTATTACATTCAACATTACATTTAACATTATATTCAGCATTATATTTAACATTATATTTAACATTATATTCAACATTGCATGAAGCATTACATTCAACATTTGTTGTCCTTTTCTCCTTACTGAACTTATCAAAATCAGCTTAAGTATTCTTAGGCTAAATAATTTTCATTCACTCATCGACTGTTTCAAACATTAATTTTGTTGTTGTTCATTCATTTATCCTGTTGCCTGAGACAAAGAATTACAGCACACTGACTGTGTTAATGTTGACACACCTGTCCTGAGATGGCCATGATCTGTTCCCAGGAAGAAACTGTAACAGGATGTGACCAAACTGACATGACTCCATCCGATGTATGGCTATTATCCCAAGCTAATAAAATACTTCATGAGATGTCTGGCTGTTACCCCAAGCTGATATAATACTTCATGAGATGTCTGGCTGTTACCCCAAGGTGATATAATACTCCATCAGATGTCTGGCTGTTACCCCAAGTGATATAATACCCCATCTACATGACACACTGATTACCCTATCTACATGACACACTGATTACCCCATCCACATGACACACTGATTACCCCATCCACATGACACACTGATTACCCCATCCACATGACATACTGATTACCCTATCTACAACTGGCCAGCTCTGTCAAATGTCCAGGGAAATCTGCAACAGTTAACAATTTAGAGCCTGCAACTTGAATCAAACAAGACAAAGGGTTGCCAAGAGTAAAGAAAGAAGTGAACAG